AAGTCACAAACATACATGTCTAAGACAAACACTGTTTACTCCTTAAAACACAAGACTGCAAAATAAAATGCCACAATTGCAAGCTGAAATAAAGCACCTAGGCCCCAAATATCACTTACCTTAATCAATTTGATTATTGCGCACCAAAATTTTAAGCAATTAAGATAAAGACAATAAACTATACAAGTTTACAATATACCTTATATAGGAAAATTATCTTTATAGAWGTTAATTATACAATTAGGTATTGATCATCATCAATAACGATCAGTAATAATTGTACAATATTAAAAATATGATCATTTTTATAGATTACCTAAAAATATTTTTAATACTTAAACTAAAAGACAAAATAAATTTCATTATATCCCAAAGTAAAGCATTAATTTTATACTTTAATTAGTTGTGTTAGTTATTTTATAAAATACCTTAATTTAACACTTAAATGGTAATATATACGTTGTATCTAAATTAAACAGTTGTTACCTGCCTAATAATTAATAATTAAATTKTTGTAATTTTTTTAGGAATGATAAAGTATTTAATACAGTTATAAAGCAAGAATTCATTGATGAAATAGATCATAGTATGGATAATCAATTATTACAAAATATAGGGTAAGAATAGTATTTAAATTAAAGAGTAATGAAATTTAATCATTCTTAACATAGTATCACTAATCTAGTTATGGACTTTTTTTATTAGCCGGTAAAATTCATAATAACTCACTAATTTTTCTTCTGCCCATTTTGTAAAAATATTATACTCGGATGTCGGTGCAGTCTTTTTCTCTCTTTGTATGAGACTGTTTCGAGAGCTGCCTGCGGCTCTCAACTTCATTGTGGCCACCCTTGTATTAGAGTATTATGGTTGCTGAGCAAACAATTAGTTTTGTTTATATTTTTTGACCACAGCCATAAAATATATTGTATATAATATTTTAGTCTTATTGATATAGGTTATCATTTTTTTGTAATTTATATTTTAATTACATTTACAATCTTTTCTTTTAATTTACTTTTATTGACATTTATGCAAAGAACAAAAAGTGGACAAGTTACATATTATGAGGAAACTTCTTTGCCGTATAGTAGTTATCGTACATGATATTGAAATACATGTGTTATATTTGAATTCAATGATAAATCAATGCATACAAAAGACAATTCTGCTGAGACATTGTACCCTTCAAAAAATAAAACTTGTATAAATAATCAAATTTAATACCTAATTTAAAAATAAATATTTATATTAATTAAAAATATCCCATTGTTATAAATAACTCATAAGGAGTCAAAATGTCAAAATAGTTCAATTAATGTTACATCCGGTAAACTTTTTTTAAGGTGGACAATTTGTGGAAAATCTTCTATTAAAATTTCTTATATTAGCTATAGAGAGAAAAATTTGAATTTCCAA